TGGGCCACGTTGTCTTCCCCAACTCTCTGCTCATCTGGCTGCTCTACCCTAATCTCTTTCCCACCTGCTTCCCGGGAACCCCCTGTCACTCCCTGAGGAAGCAACAAGGAAAACTTGAAACAAAACGAAGTCAGGGCAGCCTGGGTGGCTCAGCGGTTTAGCTTTAGCGCCGCATTCAGCCAGGGTGTGATCCTGGAGACCCGGGATCAAGTCCCACGTCAGGCTCCCTGCATGGAGCCTGCTTCTCCCTCTGCCTGTGTCTCTGTCTCTCTCTCTCTCTCATGAATAAATAAATAAAATCTTGAAAAACAAACAAACAAAAAAAAGCAAAGTCAACTTCAAGAAAGCTCATTAGCCAAGAAAGAGCTTTGGGGCCAATGTGAAATTGCAGATGGAGCCCCCCCTTTGGGGTGTGTCGGGTGTGGTGGTTTGGCCTCACTGAGAAGGCACTGCTCAATTGTCTCTTAAATGATTCCAAATAATCCCAAAGTGCAGACAATACAGAAGTAACCGGTAGAATATGCTAGGAAAGGAACCCTGGAGTCAAGCCAGAGAGCCACAAAATGTTCTGAAAGGACTCTTAAAAAAAAGTCAAGTGGGGCAGCCCAGGTGGCTCAGCGGTAGCACCGCCTTCAACCCAGGGTGTGATCCTGGAGACTGGGGATTGAGTCCCCCGTCAGGCTCCCTGCAGGGAGCCTGCTTCTCCCTCTGCCTGTGTCTCTGCCTCTCTATCTCTGTGTCTCTCATGAATAAATAAATTAAATCTTTATAAAAGAAAAAAGTCAAGTGGTTTCTAAAATAGGCAAGTCAAAATAATAAGAACCTAATCACCTAATGACACATGTGATAAGTGAAAGATATACCAGGGGGATCCCTGGGTGGCGCAGCGGTTTGGTGCCTGCCTTTGGCCCAGGGCGCGATCCTGGAGACCCGGGATTGAATCCCACGTCGGGCTCCCGGTACATGGAGCCTGCTTCTCCCTCTGCCTGTATCTCTGCCTCTCTCTCTCTCTCTCTCTCTCTCTCTCTCTCTCTCTCTCTCTCTCTCTCTTTCTCTGTGTGTGTGTGTGTGTGACTATCATAAATAAATAAAAATTTAAAAAAAATTTAAAAAAAAATTGAAAGATATACCATAAAATGTAAGTCTGCCTTCCTATTTCAGGCCCCACTCTCATTTCCCAAAAACAGTCCCTATCAACATTTTCTTGTATATAATACCCAAATTGTTACATACAAATACATCTATAGCTAAGAAACAAAAACCACAAAACAACCAGGGACCATTCTCTGCTACCCTATTCTGTATCTTGCTTTTTCAAATGTAACCAAATATCTGGGAATATTATAGCCAGGATTCTTTGGTTGCAAGCAACAGAAACTGATCAGCTTGGTTAACCAGCATAATGTAGATTTGTTGTTGTTGTTGTTTTTAAGATTTTTTTTTCCTGAGAGACACACAGAGAGAGGCAGAGATCTAGGCAGAGGGAGAAGCAGGTTCCCTGTGGGCAGCTGGATTTGGGACTCAATCCCAGGCCCCTGGGATCATGACCTGAGCCAAAGGCAGATGCTCAACCACTGAGCCACCCAGGTGCCCCCAGCATAATGGAGTTTTATAGAAAGAATAAGAATTGAAGGGAAGATTGAAGAACCACTAAGCTTGAGAAAGACAGGAACAAGGAAACTCCAGATCTTCATAGGTGAAAATTCTTAAAAGTCTTGCCTCAAACCTCCTACATTTCTTTCATCATCACTCTGCTCAAGATTCAAAACCCAGAGGGGAGAATTTTTTTGTTTTTAAAGATTTATTTATTTATTTGAGAGAGAGAGAGGGAGGGACAGACCGCTCAAGCGGGGGAGGGGGAGGGGTCGGCAGAAGAAGAGGGAGAGAATCTCCAGCAGACCCCACTGAGTGCAGAGCCCGAGGTGGGGCTCAATCTCACGACCCTGAGATCATGACCTAAGCCAAAACCAAGAGTCAAATGTTTAACTCATTGAGCCACCCAGGCTCACCCCCTGCCCCTCAGAGGAGAGAAGTTTAGAATTTCATGCCCCCTCCCACTGAGGAGATGGAAGGAGATGAAAAGATCTTCCAAAGACCCCCTTCAACTTATGTATTGAGAAGACAAAAATTTAGATTTGATACCCTACTTCCCTCTGCAATTCTACACAATGAAGGAGAGAACAGTCCACAAGAGAAATAGGATACTGTCAGGAAATGGAAATGGAGATCGGCAGGCCAAGAAATGAAAAATATCATTAAGATTTCAGGATGTGAAGACCTACCTCATTGCATATTACATGGTGTTCCATAATTTATTTAATCATTCCCTCGTGATGGACAACTAAAGTGGTCAAGGAAAAAGAGGCCTATGGCAACAGGCTAAGAAGGATAAGATTCTTGGGCCACCTGGGTGGCACAGTCCCTTAAACACCAAACTCTTGGTTTCAGCTGAGGCCATGATCTCAGGGTAGTGAGATTGAGCCTGTGTGGGGCTCAACACTCAGCGGGGAGTCTGCTCCAGATTCTCTGCCTCTCACTCTGCTCCTCTTCCTGCCCCTCCCCTATTCTCTCTAAAATAAATGAAATCTTAAGAAGGGGGGGCAACTGGGTGGCTCAGTCAGTTGAGCATCTGACTCTTGATTTTAGCTCAGAACATGATCACAGGGATGTGGGATGGATCCCCACGTGGGGCTTTGCACTCAGCACAGAATCTGCTTGTCCCTCTCCATCTGCTCCTCCCCACCCCCACCCACTTGCATGCACATGTGTGCAAACCCATGCACACACATTCCCTGTCGCTAAAAAAATAAAATCTTAAAGTAAAATTCTTGAGGCTGTAGATGGCCATTTCTCATTCTCACTCACTATCCTCACTTTGAAATAAAAAGTCTTGTGTCTTGCCTAGTGCTGGAGCATACGGACAATGCTCAGTAAACAACACGTATTCAGTTAGTGAAGAATTTGGGGGTTGAATTTGGGGTCTTGCTCTTTCCCTCTGTATTTTGTGGAACAATGGCTTAGGCACTGAAAAGAAGTACTCTCTTAGCACCATCTGCTGGCATTGAAAACCTTTCCTGAATCATGGCCTCCAAGTCTTTCAGCCAGTATTGTTAATTGTCCTGATATTCCTCCTCTCCTTAATACCTTTAGCACCAAAAGAATTTACCTTTTATCTGTACACAGATGCAGTTACAAAATAGTGACTTATTTTTGTTCTTTATTTACTATCTAATAAATGTTTTACACTTTAGTGATCCTTGTTTTTGCCTTTTTACAAAGTGAGACACGTGAGATGCTGAGTGAGAAGGAGCTTCACACCAGACTTTGACTCCAAAGATTGTGTTGTCCTTTGAAGTTTATTCGTCAGGTAATGAGCTCTGTGAATGGCACAATCTTTCTGGTTGGACTAGTTACATAGCACATAGCAATATGATGCTTTGAGTTTAGTTACAAAACCCCAGCAGGTGGCCACTATTGTGACAGGAGCATTAGAAGACAAAGAAGTAGGAGATAAGTTCCCTGCCTTCAGAGCACCCAATCTAATCAAGGAAGCAATAAATCAAATAGTATAGGATAAAGTCTGTGGTGATGCCTGCTAAGTGCCCAGTGCCCAAATAATGACATTGGGATACATATACGTATACTGTATTACATATTTGGCAATGCCTGGAGACATTGTCACATCTGGGGTGCGGATACTACTGTTATGTAGTTGGTAGAAGCCTGGGGATGCTGCTAAACATCCCACAATGCATGGGACAGCCCCCCATACTAAAGAATTATCTGGCCCAAAAAAGCCAACAGGGCTAAGACTGAGAAACCTATGTTAGACCTTTGGCAACCACCATGAGCAAAGCAGGCATGGTCCCTGCCCTCCTAGTATCATGAGGAAATGTTTAAAATATAATAATGTGTTAGGGGCACCTGGGTAGCTCAGTGGTAGAGCATCTGCCTCTGGCTGGGGTCTTGGTACCGAGATCCTAGGATCCAGTCCTGCATCAGACTCCACGCCGGGAGCCTGCTTCTCCCTCTATGTCTCTGTGTCTCTCATGAGTAAATAAAATCTTAAAAACATATATATAATATAATAATGTATTGAAGGAATTCAGAGAAAGACACTAGAGTCTTGCTAAAGTTCAGCCCATAGACCTGAAGCATGGCATCACCGGGAAGCAGGCTAAAACTGCACAATATCAACCCCCGGCCTCCTACTGAATGAAAATCTGCATTTTAACGGGACCCTCAGGTGACTACAATGCATATTAATGCTGCAGACACGCTGCACTGGGGGTTTCCAGAAGACAGAACGTGGGCTAGGGCTATTCTTCCTTGTTTTATGCAGACCGGGAAAGAAGGAAGCAAATTCCGGGTGTTGAGAGGTATATAAGGAAGATCCCGAAACGGGCAAGGAGGAATTTCTATTCTTCAATCCAACATAGCGTTTGCCTGCTTACCGCCAGACATCGTGCTAAGCTCTTTCAATGGAATATTTCACAGAATCCTCGGAACGCTATCGGGTAGGTCCATCTTATGGGTAAAGCAGACCAAGGTACAGAGGTTAGATAACTTGCTCCGGGACCCACTGACTGGGCCGGGCTGATGGAATAGAAGCAGCACTGTCTACCATGCGGAGTCGTCCACGAACACCTCCACCCACACGGACGAGCCAAAGTCACGGCCCCAGCCCTCCCCACCCAGCAAAAAGCCGATCATGCCAGCCTGTCGTCCTCTCTCTTTTTTTAAGATTTTATTTATCCATGAGAGACACACAGAGAGAGAGAGGCAGAGACACAGGCAGAGGGAGAAGCAGGCTCCATGCAGGGAGCCCGACGCGGGACGCGATTCCCGGTCTCCAGGATCACGCCCCAGGCTGAAGGCGGCGCTAAACCGCTGCGCCACCCGGGCCGCCCCAGTCGTCCTCGAACTCGCGCCGCCGACCGGAAGTCGGAGGAGCGGCGCGCCCTCCACACCGGAAGTCGCAGATGCAGCTGGGAAGCGTTTCCTTGTTTATAAGACTTGCCACCAGTGTTCAACGAATATAGTAAACGAAGAGAGCGGATTATGAAGGTGACACGGATCCTAAAGTGCTTGGAAGCTCTGTGCAACTTTCGGCCGGAATCTGTGTTAGCGGCAGCTAACGGCGCCAGCTGTCGGGGGCGGTCCTCCGAGGGCTAGAAGACCCATCTCTATGGTCAAGCAAACCGGGAGCGGTCCTCTCTTCCTCACGTGGGGGGGCTGCGCATGAGCAGTAGCCGCTGCTCGGGAAACATGGCGGAGCAAGAGTGAGTGTTGGGGCTTTGAATCTCAGTGGGGTCTTGAGCATCTGGTGCCATCCACGGTGTTTATTCCTCCGCGGCGCGAAAAGAAGGGTTCTTGTGGACTGAAGGAAGGACAAGAGAAAAGACTCCAGATTTCAAAGGGTGGGATGAGGAGTAAAGCCGTAGGGTTCGGGCTGACGGTCAGACGGAGGAAGCCGCCGTCAAGCCCGAGTTACCTGGAGCGGCGGCGGCGGGCTGAAGAATGCCGGACTTGGGTTCACTCAGCCTGACGCAAGTACTACCCCTGCAGATGAGTCTACACCCATCCTAACCCCTCGGGGCTTCTCTAGAATCACGTAGCTGCTAGTGTCTTTAAAAGGCTGTGGCAGTAAAAGCTCCGTGGAGGCCTAGTGAGGGCCAGTGGCCCCAGGGTTCGTGACCTTTCACTGCTTCAGGAACGAGGGAATGTTAAGGGCTCCATCTTGAGAACTGAAGTCAGAAACCACAGGTTTCAGGGAAGTCTGGCTTTAGGAATTTGAAGAGAGTAAGGTTTCTCGAAGCCGAAGAGATGATTCAGAATTTCATTTAAGATTTGCTTTCTAGACACTTTCGCTGATTGCGATTTTCTTATCAGGCAAAGAAAAAAGATCCCTTTGGTTCCAGAAAATCTCCTGAAAAAGAGGAAGGCTTATCAGGCCCTTAAAGCCACTCAAGCAAAGCAGGCGCTTTTGGACAAGAAGGAGGTAATGATGGGGAACCAAGAGAGGGGAATTGGAATGTGTGTTTGGTGAGTTCTATGTAGGGTGTGTTAAACTAGATTTGGCGTCGTCGACAGTCTTGTCGCCATCGATTCTAACAGGTGTACGGTTCGTATCTTCATTTAACAGGTGTTTATGAAACGCTTTCTGCAGGTAAAATGCAGTAGAGTTTGTTAAGGAAAAAGTGGAGTGGAGGTTGTACTATAGGTTCATACCAAGTGATTTGAAAGACCACACATGCTTGTGTACCTGGAAGAAAATAATATTATTCTTAAAGGTGCCAAACAGTTTTTTGCTATTTGCTAAACGTTTTTGGAAAACAGATATTTTGAAGTCAGGAAAATGAAACAAGCTCTTGCTTATTCTGTATCTCATGATGCTTAACCCAATGTTAGGTTCCATAAATATGTGTTGGTAAACGCTGGCTAACAGCATGTAAATTAACTTTTTTATTTATCAGAGGCTTTTCCTAGGAGTTTCAGAGTTTTCACATTTCTATCTTCACTTGGGTACCTCATTTTTCCTTTAAATAGAATAGAAGGTGTTTGTTTGCTTAGGTTTGCGGGACATAATGGAAAATACATTCAATCGAGAGTGCCTGATGAATTACTATTGTAGAAATAAAAAATAGAGGCACAAAATGGTGATGATGGTCTCTCTTCTTTGCAGCAGAATAAAGGAAAAAAGCTCAAGTTTAAGCGACTGGAGTGGTTCCTACATGATTCCTGGCGGCAGCAGCGTGACAGGGTGCGCCTCAGACGCCTGGAAGTGAAACCTCATGGCTTAGAAGTGCCAGATAAACATTCCTTGGCCTTCATTGTACGCATCCAAAGGTGGGGAACTTGCCACATTCCCAAGGCTGAAGCAAATTGTTGGTTCAGTTTTAGACTCCTTTCTGGGGGAAGTGAGTTATAATAGGCTTTAAGTCACGCGGGCAAGTTGTGCTGGGAATTCAGGGTCAAGCACAACATGGTTTTTGTCTTTAAGGTTTAAGGAAAGTGACCTTAGGCAAACAGACACGAAAATACACCCAGTGCTGTGAAGGTTGACTGTTGTTGGGGCAGTACTGGTTCAGGACACTCTAAAACAGGGCCTTGAAGCTGAGACCTGCAAACATGGAAGGAATTCACAAATTTCAAGGAAGGCTTTCCAGGAATAGATGCAGAAAGTCCTGAATTGAGAGAATCAAGGCTTCTTTCTAGGAACTGAACCAAGGTCAAGTAAATGGAACGAATTTAGTGCTGGGGAGAGTTCATAAAGCTTTTTTCTCACTTAATTGTACTTTACCCAGTCTACCTGCATGTACAGCTGCCTTCCTCTTTCCAGTACCCAGGCACCCAAACCAGAAAAGTGTGTGCTTTAAATATTTTTGAGTCCTCGTTATTAACCTTCCTACCACTTCTCATAATCTCTTTCCTGGACTGTCGCATTAGCTTCCTGAGTTTCCCTGCCTCTGATGTCACGCTTTCAGATCTGTCCTATATGCTTTCCTCAGTGATCATAAAGAAGAAAGGTGATTGTGTTTCCTTTCCCTAAAGTATTTGTGCTGTTCCTGCCCACGGCAGCAAGTCCAGCTTCCTTTGCTTGATGTGCACAGCCCTACACACACACTCACACACCCCCAACACACCGAATCAGGGCCTCTCTCTGTGTTCTTATAGCACCTCAGGCATTGCTCCACATCATGTGAGAATGATCTGTTTACATAGCTGCCACCTCCTGACCTGTTAGACATAGTCTGTGTCTTGCTCTCTTGATGCCCTGTAGTGGCAAACATTTTATAGTTGCTTGCTGGCCTGACGTAAACTGAATAAAGCCTCTGCTGTTCATTTCAGGATTAATGGGGTGAGTTCACTGGTACAGAGGACCATTGCAAGGCTGCGCCTGAAGAAGATCTTCAGTGGTGTCTTTTTCAGAGTAACCCCCCAGACCATGAAGACACTGCGGATAGTGGAACCTTATGTGACCTGGGGTGAGAAGATTTTTTGGGTGTGTGGATTCATATTAGATTGTATTTGAGCGTGATGAGAACACTACGATGCATGGGATACTCTTCTCTGAGGCTTGTGTTGCTGCTTGAAGAAATATTTTGTTGTGACCACAGTCACCAGAAATCAGCTGCCAGCCGTAGAACCTTGGAACGTGGGACAGGTAGAACAGGAGATAGCAGAGCTGCTGATAATGTGCCATGAGCAGTACCATGGCAGGGCTTGTTCACTTGTAGGCTGAGGCTGAGTAAGAGGGGTAGAAATAAATTAATTTGGGGGGTCTTCAAACAGCTTGGGGCAGTGTTTATGTAAGAGTAGTGTTCCTTCAAATATTAAAACCCAGCAAAGGCCTGGATTTTTTTTTTTTTTTAAGATTTTATTTATTTATTCATGAGAGACAGAGAGAGAGGCAGAGACACAGGCAGAGGGAGAAGCAGGCTCCATGCAGGAAGCCTAATGTGGGACTTGATCCCAGGATTCCAGGATTACGCCCTGGGTCGAAGGCGGCACTAAACCGCTGAACCACCCAGGGATCACCAAGGCCTGGATTTAATTTCAAATTCTGGCACCATCTTGAGTAAGGGTCATATAAGGTGAGAGTCCTGAACTGTAAGCCAGCGCTTATTTTATTTTTTCCTGGGAAAGTAAATTTTTTTTTTTTGTGGTGAATGTTTATATCCATAAATTTTAATTTCTAATTACCTAGTCAAGGCCACTCTGGTTTTTGACCCCCTTCTTCACTTGTGTAATTCCAAGCTTCCCAGCTGTAGTGTGATAACAGATTTCTTGGTGGGAAGAAGGGGGGTGTGGACTAATCTCTCCTCGGCCAGGCTGCAGGACTGAGACAGGCCAGTGTCAGTTACAGTGCCAGGGGCTGATAAGGCTGTACTTCATTCTGCCTCACATAGATTTCCAAATCTGAAGTCTGTCCGGGAACTCATCTTGAAACGTGGACAAGCCAAGGTCAAGAATAAAACCATCCCTTTGACGGACAACACAGTGATTGAGGAGCATCTGGGTGAGTGTTCCACTTTACAGGTCAGTTGGGGTACAAAGCAAGGATCTCTGGTCTTCTTGGTGTGGAATTTAGGTCATATTCTTTTTGGGGTCCCAAGAACCTACCAGAGTGCCCAGCTTTGGCACGTAAGAGCCTCATAGTATATATATACTGGAGAAGTGTTGAATAAAGGAATCTGTACCTTTTGTTTCTTAGGGAAGTATGGTGTTATTTGCTTGGAAGACCTCATTCATGAAATTGCCTTTCCGGGGAAGAATTTCCAGGCCATCTCTGCGTTCTTACGTCCTTTCCACCTCTCAATGGCCCGACATGCTACCAAGAATAGAGTGGGCTTCCTCAAGGAAGTGGGCTTACCTGGCTATCGAGGTGAACGCATCAATCAGCTCATTCGGCAGCTGAATTAAACCCAGGTGAGGCAGGGCTGGAAACTGCCCTTTGGCTGGCTTTGATGGGCCATGTCTGTCCAGTTAAAAAAAATTGTTTTTGCATTTACCAGTATCTGAAAAGTAACTCTAGCAATGGGGGAGAGAGAAGACTGGTAGCTACCAGTCTAACATGGAAATGTGCTTAGAACAGTGACTGCCTGGTCAGGACATGACACTATGTGTATCCAACAATTAAAGGCTAGAAAATGTCGAGTAGCAAAAAAAAAATCTGTATCGCTGTGGTCATTTATCTGGAAATGGGGAGAGAATATTAAAAACCAATTTCAAAGGACATGAAGAGGGCAGCCCTGGTGGCGCAGCGGTTTAGCGCCACCTGCAGCCCAGGGCGTGATCCTGAAGACCCGGGATTGAGTCCCACATCAGGGGATTGAGTCCCACATCAGGCTCTCTGTATGGTGCCTGCTTCTCCCTCTGCCTGTGTCTCTGCCTCTCTCTCTCTGTCTCTATGAATAAATAAATAAAATCTTTAAAAAAAAAAAAAAAGGACATGAAGATTTAAACCATCTATTTTGTTGAAAGTATCTTAACTTTTTGAAATTGCTTATTGTGATTAATCTGAGGTGCTTTCATTAAACTTATGTTAATGAAGTTGTGTTTTTCTTCCTCAGAATATCTGGAAGCACAGTGCATTGGTGGCATGTGTTTTGTCTTCTGGAATTGTTACCAGTATCTTCAAAGAAGATTATTTTCTGCTATATCTTCAGAAACTAGAGAGAGGGTCAAGGAAAAGATGATGATGCTCCTGGCAGGCACTTCTGACCACAGCAGTTTCAAGGAAAAATTTCAGTGTATTTTCCACGTTGCCTGCCACTGCCACCTCTCAAATCAGCAGAGGACTCATGCCATAGAAGGAGTCCTGCTGCATCACATCTTCTGGTCTGAGGTTTAATGGTGAACGAATACCCAAACGTGAATGGAAGACGGCAGTGGACCAAGCTCAGGGACATACTTGAACCTGGGGGTTCTGGGGCCTTGTTTTGGACAGACCTTGAAATAGTTACAAAGAAGAGCACAAAAACAGTGCTCAGCTGTCTCTGCTGTGAGTCCATGTCCTTTTTGGTGACAGCTTTGCGAGTTCTCACACTTGGCTGGCCCCTGAAGTGTATTTGGTGGCATCCTTCACCTAGCCTGCCATTGGCTTGGTCCATTGCTTTAGCTCAGGATCTTAACCTGTTCTTGGGTCTCTGAGAAGGGAATAGCACTTTTCCCAGAAAACCCATACACTCAGATTTTTGCTTGGAAGTTTTTGTATGTTCATAGACTCTTCTTAGGGATCCATGCACCTATGTAAGGAAGTCCTGCAATACCTGGATTGGTCACCTAGGCCCTGACATTGTTAGTCTTCTCTGGTCTCATGGCCTGTGGAAGACCAAAGCTTACCAAGATAGCTTTTCCCCTTGAATCCAATTGGGTGTTTCCTAGGAACACAGTGGTAGGGCAGCCCGGGTGGCTCAGCGGTTTAGCACCACCTTCAGCCCAGGACGTGATCCTGGAGACCCAGGATCAAGTCCCACATCAGGCTCCCTGCATGGAGCCTGCGTCTCCCTCTGCCTGTGTCTCTGCCTCTCTCTCTCTCTCTCATGAATAAATAAAATCTTAAAAAAAAAGAAAGTGGTAGGGATGCCTGGATGGCTCAGCAATTGAGCTCTGTTTTCAGCTCTGGGTGTAATCCTGGAGTTCAGGGATCAAGTCCCACATCAGGCTCTCTGAGGGGAGCCTGCTTCTTCCTCTACCTGTGACTCAGCCCCTCTCTGTCTCTCATGAATTAAAAAAAAAAAGGAACACTGGTAGATTTCCTGAGCCCCATGTACCATCTACCTCTGAGAAATGCCCACCATTTGTTTCTGCTGGGCTTCAGGATGGAATTTTCTTTGTTTGGAATGGATGAAAGTAGTACTGTTAGGTCTTGTAGGCTTCAGGCAGGCTTAATTGGACCCTCTCCTTGCATAGTCTAGACTTCAACAAAAGTATTGCTGTCTACCCTGCTGGTAACAATGTAGTAGACCAACACTAGGGCTCTTGGGGTCATGAGACCTAGAAAACGGGGATCTGATCTTGCTTGTGTTGATCATCTGTGTCACTTTGTTGCTTCAGTTGCCATCTGAATAGTTGGTGAAGGTGTGCCAGCATAGGTAAGACTTGAAAACACAACCGTTGTGTTCCCTGGTCCCTTAAAGGATCAGCTTTGCCGTACTTTTGGCTCATTCAGCCCTCAAACGTAACCGTGAGGTTGAGTTAGAAATACAACAATGCCTTAAAATGTGCCAGATTGTGAGGTAATTAATTAGGTTGGTTGGCTCAAGAGAACCTGCCAGGAATAGATGTTAGAGCTTACACTTAAACTTTAAAGCATTGTGAAATCAAATTACTTTTAAATGATGTAAGGAAAAGCTATGGGAAAAGAGCATTTGTGAATGTTGGAAGCCCAGGGTTTCTATCACAGATCTGTTTTATACTAAATAAAGGAATATTTCCATTCTTACCTGCAAAATGGGGCTAGCTAGTCTAGCATGTGTGCTTCACAGTTGTTCAAAGGATTAAGCAATATAATAGCTTTAAACTTAGAATTCTATGTAAATAAGTTATAAAAGTTAATGTACTTCTGTGTCATGTACTATGATATACCATTCCTTGAACAAGTTGTGGAACTATATTTCTGGGGAAAAAAAGAGTCTTATTGTATAATCTGTACATAGTGTATGCTTATGTGAATGGTTCATGGCCACCAACACCCATTCCTGACACCATAAGCCATATATATATGTTCTAGGTGTAGGGAAAACCAACTAATTTCAGGAAGCAAGAGTGGGGGCTGCGAGCCATGTGGGTTGTTTAAAGAGACAAACTTGAGAAAGTGGTTGTAGGAGCTTTTCTTCTGTTCTAAACTTGGAGCCTGACCTTACTAATTCCCTGAACCAAAGAGTCCTAAGACTTTTTGTTGTTGATTGGCCTTTTTAATGCTTTGGGATTTCATTGATTTAATGTATCTTTGAAGTCCTTCTGGGGCCAAGTGTAATCATCAAACCTTTTATTAGCTGCTGATCTAGAGAATGGCTATCTAAAATCAACACCATTTGGATCCCAGATACGTTTCCATTACCACCAGAATAAGCTGAACCGGAAGATAAACACTGAGGTCCTCTTCCATTACTAATAAAATTCTGTGTGCGTCTTCAGTAGCATTGTAAGGAAAACACATAGGGACACCTGGGTGGCTCGGCTTGAGCTTCTGCTCTTGGCTCAGGGCGAGATCCTGGGATCCAGGATAGAGTCCCCCCATTGAGCTTCCCGAGGGGAGCTTGCTTCTCCCTCTGCCTATGTCTCTACCTCTCTCATAAAACGAAAGAAGAAAAAAAAGTTTCCTGAAAGGCTCGGTTAAGTATCTGACCTCTGCTGAGGTCGTGATCTCAGGTCCTGGGATAGAGCCTCCCGCCGCCCCCCCCCCCCCCCCCCCCCGGCTCCCTGCCCATTGAGGAGTCTGCTGCTTCCTCTCCCCCTGCCCCTCCCCTGCTCGTGCTAATAAATACAATCATTTTTTTTCTTTAATGAAAATATCTATACATCGGGGACAGTGAAGTATGAGGTTTGTCAATTATAAGGGCTGAAACTGGGTATTTTAAAAATTTAATGAGGATCATGCTTCAGAAATACGGATCCAGACAACCCCGATTATACTCCCAGGAGGCTTAAGTCCAGCCGAGATGAGTCCGGGCGAATGCACAAAAGATGAAAAACCGTGGCCAGTATCCGGGGTCCGAGGTAACGCAGGGCACAGCCCCGCCTTCCGGGTCCAAGAGGTAAAGGACATGGAGCCTCAGAAACCCACTGCGGGCCATCGAGAAGGCGCAATCCCGCTTCCGCCGAGCAGGACCCGTCCACGCGGCTCGTCTCCCGGGACCCGGGACCCGTGGTCTAGGGCGGCGATGCGGCGGCCTCTGCCGACCCCGCGGCCGACCCTGCGGCCTCCCAGGGCTTGGGCCTCCGTGGGAGCTGCGACGCCGTGGGCTCGCCGTGGGTCGCCGCGATGTGGGGCCTCTCCAGGCCAGGGAGCTCCCGGCCCTGCTGGACCAGCTGCACGAGCTGCGCCAGGCTCACTGATGCCGAGGCCGACTCCGCGGGCGCGGGGCCGCAGCCCAGGCCGCTCCGACCGCCGGACTGCTCCATGCGCCGCTGTTCCGCCTCGCCCGCGGCAGCGCGAAACGCTTCCGGGGCGGTGGGTGCAACCACCATCGGAGGCAATGGAGGGGGTTCGTGGAGCGTACCAAGCCGGCCCAGAGGGGGGAGCACTTGAGAGCCGCGACCAGCTCCACGCACACGGAAAACTAGCCCACACCAGAGCCTGCAACGTGGCAGTGCTTTTTTTTAAGATTTTTTTTTTTTAATTCAGAGAGAGTGAGAGGCAGAGACACAGGCAGAGGGAGAAGCAGGCTCCATGCAGGGAGCCCGACGTGGGACTCGATCCCGGGGCTCCAGGATCACACCCTGGGCTGGGCTGAAGGCGGCGCTAAGCCGCTGAGCCACCGGGGGCTGCCCCGGTGCGGTGCTTTAGAAGGAACTCCAAGACTTGCACAGAACGGGCCACGCATGATCATGATGCTGGCAAAAAGACCCAGTTTGGCACAGGGGCATAGGCTCCTCCTACAAAGCTCTTTTCCTTTCTCTTCTTTTTTCTTCTTTCTTTTCTTTTCAGTAATCTCTTAGGGCTCGAATTCAGGACCCCGAGATGGAAAGTCGCGTGCCCCTCAGACTTAGCCAGCCAGGCACCCCAGTCCATACCTATTTTCACACTTGTGCGTAAGTGTGTACCTGCCGGGCACGTGTAGAGACAGACGGCCAGGGGATCATCTCCGAGCCTGGCCTGACTCCGCAGCTCCACACAGAAAATAGCTGCGGAGAGACTTCCAGTGGCCTCCGAAGAACTGGGAGTTAAGTGACGGGGGAGCTTCACCACTCTCCCCTTTTCCTGCCAACAAGATTCTGTGCCTGGTATTTTCAAAGAGGATGAGAAAAGATGAAAGCAGACCAGGTGTGCTACAGTCCCTCTGGCTCTCTGGAAAGTCAGTGCCGATTATTCTCAGGTTTCTAAGTTTATTGAAAGTTGGCCGGATCTGGCAAGCACTGCCTTCATCCTGTAATCAAGGTCTAATTACTTTTTTTCAGTCTAATTACTATTAACAGAACAAACGGGCACCATGTGTCTCCTGATGTGATGCACTGAGGACACGATGGACGTGGGAATACTACATCTCTTCTGTGGTACTCCTGCCCAGAAGGTTCACTCTGAATCTCATCTGGAGGAAATGAACAGACCTTAGAGTGAGAGACATTCTGCAAATGTCTTTATAAATGTCAATGTCATAAATGTCTTGGGATGCCCACAAAGACAGTTATTAAAATTCTGATCGGATGGTTGACTGTGCTGACTGCCTTCTGTGACTCCCTTCTGTGACCCCACCAGATCCTCTCTCCACCCTTATCCACTGAGTTTCCTGCACACCGATGTCTACAAACATTGCAATAGGCTCCCTTAACCTCTGGCTTTGCTTTTGGCTAGTGAGGGCCCCAGCAGAAGAAAGGAGAAGGAGGTCAGGGTATTTATTCCTCAACTTCCCTCCCTCCAGGATTCCCATGGGCCACAGGGTCCCTCTGCCAGGTCTCCAGCTTTGGGGCCCTGCATTGCTCCTTCCTCTCACCCCTTCAGGCTCATTGCCAGTTCCAGGTACTGCATTATCCCTTGAGATATCCTGTCATACTGCCACACCACTATAAATGGTCCCTTTATTAAATTCTCTTCAAATTACCCAATATGTATGCATCGTCTGCCTCCTGTCCACACTCACCCAAAATGGAATTGGCTCCAGGAACAGCCTCAGACAGAATACTGAGATTGGGTTGATCATAAATTCAAAGAGGACAGAGGAAGCCTCCTTGCTGAGGGAAAATGCCCCCGGGGAATCCACTGCATGTAGGTGTATCGCCATCACTCAGATTATCATTGGGGGTGGCAGGGTGAAGTGGAGAATACTGCATTGTTGAGATGGGGAGATGGCAGGCAACATGGCTGTGGCTTGTCCTCACTACGGCCTGGACTCACTTGGCTTCTGAAGGCCACAAGGGAAGGAGAACTGGACATGATCAATGTCTGACAGGAGATGTGAGTGTGTAAACAGGACACCTTGATGGCACCTGGGAGGAGTCCCTCATCTCCTAAAGGCAGGGAGGGCTCCGGTGGCTGAGGACTGGGACCTTGATGTCATCCTAAGCGTTGCCAAGTTGCAGTGCTACTTAAGTGTCCAGCCCTTTAGGGTAGCATGAGAGGAGGCTCACATAGGGCACTGATGGGGGGAGGGGCGGGACTCTGAAATGAGAAGGAGACATTCTGGCAGACATGTGGTGCTTCTGTCCCTCTGGACATCAGCTTCAGGATCTCCCCACCTCCAATCCTCCCTGGCTCTTCTCAAGCTAGATCTCAGAACAGTCTGAGCAGAGAAGCGCAGGGCCCACGCTGAGAGTACGCCCAGACAAGGGGTTATAGATCTTGCTAAACTGCCTTGGCAGGAGCCACAGCAGTATGTGTGGGAATGGGTTCTAAGGGAAATAGACCCAGAAGGGTGGAATGTAAGACTCAGTTTGGCCAAACTCAAGGCCATGGATGCTCATCTGGGATTTGGGATTTAATGTGTTTGGCTCGAGCACCTGAGAGAGGCATTAATAGTCTATGAGGTTGGTTAATTAAAGCCTGGACTTAATGGTAACCTACAGTTAGTAAACTTGAAATGCCAGAATTTCCCTGGCATACTGTAGAGGAAGGAATCCAAAATCTCAGAAGGGTGGGAATGCTGGACTGGATTTATTGTGTGCAACCTGACTAGCCACCCCTCACATATATGTTAAGGGGGTCTGGAAAACCCTCCCTTCGCCAAAGCATTAAGAAATGCATTGGTAAGGGGCACCTGGCTTGCTCAGTCGGTAGAGCATGCAACCCTTGCTGTCAGAGTCAAGAGCTTGAGCCTCACATTGGGTGTAGAGTTTACTTTAGAAGAAGGAGAAGGAGAATAAAGATGAAGAAGAAGAAGGAGGAGGAGGAGGAGGAGAAAGAAGGAGAAGGAGAGAAAATGCACTGGTGAGAGCCACCTGCATCCTTGACTTGCTTTGATGGCTGTCCTCTGTAGGCTAGAGATGCTGTTGGAGGGCGCTGGATTCAGTGGAACTGGATTCTAGAATCTCAAGCAGAATAATATAGTATCCTGATAGCATAAAGGCAAGGTGGTGATGCTTAACAGCCAAAGGCAAGGCAACTATAATACCTCACAAAAAGACATGGGAAGAATGGTCACCATTGGACACAAGTAGAGTTCTGTGTGCTTTGGTCAGCCTCTTTTCCTAGGCATTTCAGGCCCTGTTCAATAGACCCATGGTGGCAGGGATGGAAGTTATGCTTTGGTTCAGTAACATAGTCTTCCCCTCTTTGAGGCGAATCTGGCTGTGCCCAGTGCTGAGGGCCCATCTTACATCCCAATCCTGGGTCCCTGATGAGGCACCATTCTCATCCAGTTGTAGACTGATTTGACTGGGCCCTCCCAGCATGGGAGGGCTGTGCTTTATCCTCATGAGAACAGACACATATTCCAGGTATGAATTCACCCTCTCTGCCTCCAGTGCTTCTGTCAGCACCACCATCCTGCCAGCCTCAGGTATTCTGATGGAGAGAATACCTTACCCATCACCATGGCATTCCACATAACATCACCTCCAACCAGGGCACACATTTCATTGCCAAAGAAATGTATAAATGAGCTCACTCCCAAGGCACTCACTGGTTTACCATGTGCCCATGACCCAAAAGTGCTGGCAAGATAGGATGGTGGATTGGTCTGCTGAAAACTCATCTAGAGCATAGCTGAGAAACTTCACCCTGCCAGACTTTGGGGCCATCCTACTGGGTGCAGTGTATTCTTTAAACCATAACCACACATAATCATATACAGCCAAGAGGTGGGGACAATAGGAGGCTCTTCAGTCTCATACTTAAAGAATTTGTTTCAACCCATTCCAATAATGGAAAGGACTCAGGGAGTTTGGTGATCCTAGTACTCAAGGGAGAAACACTTCTACCATGCAACAGTCATAGTACTGAGGACTTGGAAGCTGAGGTGGGCCCTGGCCATTTTGGTTTCTCCTGCTACTGATCCAGTAGGCAGAGAAAGATACTTCTGTAATGTCTCGGTTGATTAAGCCCAATTCCTAGAGAAAATTATGTTGCCACTGCACAATAGAGATGGGGCTAGATCTGGAGCCCAGGGCATTCACTGAGGTGCTTCTTCATAATCCTCCAACCAGTAGTCCAGGTCCACAGAAAACCAGCAACCCAAGAAGTCAAGACCACCAAGACCACCTAAGGACTCAGACCCCATAGGAATAGAAGTCAAGTCACCCACCCACCAGGTAAAGAAACCTGGTGCTGGCAAAGGATGAGGAGAGTGTCTCACTGAGGGTGAAAGCAGGCCTTGTTACCCCAGTTTTTTCCTGCTAACTTAAGTAAAGAGTACTGGTGATAGCTAGCATTCCAGGTTTCAACGGGAGTATGGTCAAATCGCTGTCCCCTCTCAATTATATGGTAGCTGATGCGACACGGTGTGTCCTCGGTGCTGGGGCATGTTTGTTTTTTTTTTTTTTTTTAAGATTATTTATTTATTTATTCATGAGAGACAGAGAGAGAGAGAGAGAGGGGGGGGGCAGAGACACAGGCAGAGGGAGAAGCAGGCTCCATGCAGGGAGCCCGACGTGGGACTCGATCCCGGGGCTCCAGGATCACACCCTGGGCTGGGCTGAAGGCGGCGCTAAGCCGCTGAGCCACCGGGGGCTGCCCCGGTGCGGTGCTTTAGAAGGAACTCCAAGACTTGCACAGAACGGGCCACGCATGATCATGATGCTGGCAAAAAGACCCAGTTTGGCACAGGGGCATAGGCTCCTCCTACAAACCTCTTTTCCTTGATCCCCATGGGGCATGGATTTTTTATCTGGACAAAAGAGAAGAGGTGCTTCCCTTGTGACCCTTCAGAACACCGCCCCCTCCCCCCCCCCCCCCCCCCCCCCGCCGTCGCACACACCAGCCCTGTCCCTGCGAAGCTGAACCGCATCAGGGGAGGCCTACACCCCCCGTGGAGATAGCCCAGCGACCGCCGGGGCAGAAGATGGGAGGAGCCAAGTCCGAATTCTCCCGCGGCTCTAGCTGCTGGCTCAACATAGACCATGTCCCTCGACCAGAGGTCCC